TAGTAACAGTGAACTTTATTTAGATCTGTAAGTTTACCTGTAATATTTTTTTCGTTTACGTGTTTTGTTTTTCTTTTCACAGTAATAACTGGAAGAAAGCTGCGATATGTTAGCTATCATGTGCTCTCCGCTCCAACTCTACTCTACTCTACTCCAACACTGCTGCGTTTGCTACGTACAAAACAAGCCACGAATACATACATGCACAATCATCAGCCTGTACATACGTTTACATCAACAAAAAGTAGCAAAATAAAGTTTGATCAATGGAAAACTTCAATCAAGTAGCGTACAGATTAGACGTCAGACGCTCGTGATCGTCATGAAACTCGTCGATATCACAAAGAATCTCTTCGTTGTTACCTTCATACATAATTTTCAGAAACTCCGACTAGCACACGAAAATTATCGTAACTAATGCAACAATAAACTGTTCATTTCAATGTTAAGGACGAAGATTACATGGAAATTTGCAACAGCTGACGAAGCACAATAGCGTTCAGAGGAGGAAACAAAGATGGCGGACGTAGCGTGGGTAGCAGTATCCCGTCATTCAATGCGGTGGTTTTTTTTCGTGGCACATTTGCCGTGTTGATGCGGCGATAGCACCGTGTCGCAGTCGAAATAAATCTTAGAATTTGTACATTGTACAATCAAGCCTAAAACGTTGGGGTGTGCGTTTCAAACAGCCAAGGACGTAATCATGACTGATGATGACAACGACGCCACGACATTTTGAGTTTTTCCGGTTGGATTTGAAAAGAGGCTTGCTTCGAATTCGTTACATGATACATGTCGGAAGGAATATGACTTGAGACTCCGCAAAGTTTGCTTATACACACACAAAAAAAAACAGTTAATCAAGGAACTGGATATGATTTTGGAAACGGTCAAACAACGTCTCTCCATGTAACACACTACATTTTGTCAGATCACAATATTCCTCCGGATCCGACCATTTTGAGTAAAACCATGGATCCCTTTATGCCTCAAACCATGGAGTTAGAAGGGCTATTACTTAGCCTACCTGGGCAAAAATATGCAAAAAAGCTACTTAAAGTATACTCTAGATACATTTTATTGCTTGCACAGAATAAGGTGGCCTTCTAATATTAACTTCTACAATGGGATTTACGACTCGCTATAACTTCCCTTTACCGTTGAAAATAACAAAATGGCGACAGTGAGGTTTTGACGCTATCCCG